TTCTCCAGGGAAATCTTTACCTTTGTTTCAGTCATTGAGTATTGTCTGTTTTGGTACTTCCTGAAAATATCTCACTGGATTATATATAAACACCTTAAGAGTAGAGCCTTTACATGCTTGCTTGGGCTGAAACCTCAGTGCCTAATACAGTGTCTGACACATAGTGGGGACACAAATATCTGTTGAGCTAATGAGGTAATAATTTAGACTGGTGTACTGGTTATCTGGTTTAATAGTGTACTGTAATTCTGTTTAATGTTTCATTTAAGGGCAACACTTAAAAATTGCCATTTTGATTCTGTTAGTTGTTACTTGTCACTAGGTGTCACAGGTTTTACTGGCAGATTATTTTTTCTTTCCTGCCAAGATTCAATGCAGGAAAAGTAGTCTATTTGCTGTTGATTTAATGGGCAAGGGCCATCTTTAAAAGCAGCCTGTTGAGGATAGTTGGTTAACTAGAGAAGCCTAAAAACAGTAAGCTGGTGTTTTACTATACACTGTTTGTTGGTATATGTATGTTAAAACTCTGTATAAATGTATTTTTGAAATTCCTTGTAGTTATTTGGCAAAGAACTCACTCTTACACTGGAGTGAGGATTTGGCAAAGTTCCTACATAAAGAATATGTAGGAGTATTTAGCTAATTCATTTATAGTCTTTTTCTTATAGGGAAATTAGCACTTAGTTTAATAACAGGTTTTCGAAGCAGCTTTGAAGGTAAATTGTGGTGCACTGTACTTATAGTAGGCTTTATACAACTTGTTAGTGCTATTTAACTTCCTTTGGTACACAGAAGGGTGTTTAGCCATAGACAAATTTGTGTACTATTTTCAGATTTCCATTAATAATGAAAACTTTATATGTATGTAAAGTGTTACAGATATCCACAAAAAACATTGATTTATCTGTTTTCCTTATAAAAAAAGCTTCCTAAGAGACATATTTTTTTTACTTATTTCTATTATTGGAGAAAATTTCCTGTAAGGAATGGTGTTATTAGTCCTTGCTCAACATATTTGCCAGCTGCTATTTCTATGGTACTATTATACTGGACAAGAATCATTTCTTGCTGGCCTAACATGCTTAGTTACTGCTGATGAAATGCAGTCTCTAGCAAACAAGTCTTCCACATTTCAGTTTCTTTAAAAAAGCACACATTTATAATCAGTTTTAGTTGGTATAATTCGTTCACATGTCAAGACCAGATGGTAAAACTGAGTTATCCATAGAATAAGTTAAATTATTTGTTCTGATCTCAAGGCTGTTTTCTGTCTTTGCCTTCCTTAGGAAAGTACACTTTTTAATAGGAACTTTTATGTATCATGAGTTCCTAGAGAGAAGATATTTTTTTGGTTTTTGAATGAAACTAAAGTGATAAGTGTATCCAAACTGGATTGTAAATTCTGGTTTAGAGTAGTCCTGTGTGTCCTTAATCACACTGAAATCTTTAGTGCCTCACAGGGTGCCTGGCACACAGTAGAGACCCAAATGTATGTTGAAGTAATGACTCAGTGAGGTTAAGGCAGATAGTTTACATAGAATTTAATAATTTTGTGTAAGGATAACATTTAAAAGTAGTCATATTGACACTTTTACTGTCAGCTGTTATTTGTTTCCACATGTGTACTTTTAAATTTTACTCATAGATTATCTTAGCGACAAGGTGATAATACCCAGAATGAGGTAATATCACCAAAAGTTTGACACATATATATGAGTGGAGAGGTTAGGAATGGTTTATGTGAGAAAGAAGTACAGATGGCCTTATAGATAGTTAAGGATTTTAGTAAAAATCCTTTATGGTAACTTGGTGTCTTATGATCAAATTGGGAGTTCAGAAAAAATACATATATATTCCAAATATTCATGGCTTTTACACAATTTTTATTACCCTAAGAGTTCTAGAGCAATTTTCATACTACATACTTGCTGTTAATACCAGTAATGTACAAGAAACTCAAACAAAAAAAAAATGCATACAAAACAATGTGGCCTCTTAGGGCTTTCAGAGCCTCTAATAGCAAGTTCCTCTGGTCTAGGTGGCCAAGCTTCTGGCCTGGCAGGACTGCAGATTTTGTTTTACTGCCAGCAATATTAAATGTAACTCTGGATATTTCCATATAATAGTATCTAGATTCCTATATTTCAAACTCTTCTACCAAAACTACTCCTAAGTTAAAAGCAGAGTAAATTCATGGGGGAGGTAGGAATATAGTTGTGCTGGGAAGAGAGCTGGTAAATTTGAGAGTATACCCTGAATAAGCTCCAAGCAAGAATGAAATTTCTTGAAAGTCTAGTAATCTTAAAAAATTTCCAAGCACTTTTAACTTTTTAATTAGTGTATATTTAAAAACAAAATAGCATTTTAAATTATTGTGTAGTAAAATGCATGCATCATTGTGTCTCCTGTGGTTCTCGAAGCCCCGGCATACTCTTTATTGCCTACTCTTAAATAAGTACATTTGAAAAGCATGATTCTAGCTTAAAGTTTTTTTTAACCAGAATTTGAGCCATATATAAGTATGTAACTTTTCTTGTGATGCTTAAAATTAATGTGTATACAAATGCTATTTTTTATCTCATTTATTCCACTGTGTGTCAGCTTACAGCAAAAAACATACTAACAAAATGGCAAGAATATAAATAAAATATTTAAATTGCAGATCAGGGAAAACAGCAATAAGAATGGAGGTCTCGAGGACATGTGAAGTTTGGGGGTAGGGGGAATAGGGCACAACTGTGCAGGTCACAGGAACTTCCCTAGTGGAGGAGCAGTTTTAGCTGTAAGCTTCCTAGAAGCCAAAGGGAAAGGGAGACATCACATCTTTGTATCTTTTAAATAGGAAAGTACACAGATCTCAGAGACGAAAACATGCTAAATATTTTTGGGGAAACAGGGCTTTCTGAATACCTCTAAAGAAATTTCTTCTGTAGAGCTCCATGTCAAAGTTATCGTGTGATGTAGTGTTGGTAATTCCTTAACAGTGTGGTACAGTTAATGTAGTGCTTGCATAAGGCTGTTTGTCAGGGTTTCCTTCTCAAGGATGTAACTGTGAGTAAAACTTAGTGATGTCATTTTCTTCAAGTCAGCATTTTATGATTCAAGTACATGGTTTCTTAGATGACCAACTTGATTCGAGGATGCAAACCTAGAATAACTAGGCAGATGAACTGCATAATCTTTTAAAATATCCTTTATGTCTATCACTGATTTCCAAGACTTAAAAATGTGTATTTTTCTTTAATTATAAAAGCAATACCTGTTTATAGTAGAAAATTCAGATATAGATGTTAAATATGTATTTCTCTCTACATACAGAAATTCTGTGTGTGTGTGTGTGTGTGTGTGTGTGTGTGTGTGTAATTTTTTTCTCAACCCGCTTCTTGACAGACTTGTTAGCACTTTGGTGTACTTCCTTCCAGTCTTTTTTATGTGCATTTTTTAAAAAGTTGGATCATAGCAATATATGCCTTTTATATTCTATAAATATAACATTAGCATTTCCCAATAGTATTTGATTTTCATAAATTATTTTAATATCTGCATTGTGTGTGTCTTGAGGAAGCTTAAAAATTCACCTCTTACCTTCCATGAGGCTGTATGCATTTGACTGTTCATTTTTAGGTATCTTTTGTCTGTTTTTGTTGGCTTTCACTTAACCTCTTCAATATGAGCAATCCAATTATCAGTCTGCTTCTCTTAATCACTCTTTTCGTTGATCATATTACCTTCTCCCCAACAGCTTCAGCTATCACTTCAAACCACTTTCAGATCCTCAACTCTAATTCAGACTTCATGCTGAGTTTCAGGCCCCTTAAATCCAGTTGCCCAGTAAACATCTGTGGATGTCCTGAAGGCATCCTAAATACAGCTGTTCAAAAACAAGTTTTTTCATTGTACCTATAGTCAGCAATAATGTACACTTGTTTGTTAGAAGGTAGATCTCATGTTACGTTTTTACCACAATAAAATTAATTTGTTAAAGTTCTTCGTCTTCTGTCAGAAGTAAATGGTTTCTCCCCTTTTGTCCCTTGTCTTCATCATCATCTCTGTTTAGTTGCTCATACCAGGAGTTTTACATCGTATATTGTCATTTTATCTCACTTTAATACCCAAGGTATGTTCTACTTCACACAAAAAAATTAAGTATTTGAGTGTCTACCATGCATTAGGCATTGATTATGGCTCTAGGGCTTGAACAATGAACAAAACCAAGCCTTGTTTTCATGGAGCTTACATTCTAACTGAGAGAGACACAAAGTAAAGAGATACATATGTTAAATGACAAGAGCAGTTAAGAAAATAGATCAGGGTTAGGTGAAAATGATAGGGAGAGGAGTAGGAGGATGCTTATCTATTCTAAGATGATCAAGGAAGACCTCTATTAAGGAGACATTTGTACAAAGACCTGAAGGAAGTAAAGAAGCAAACAATGTACATATTTTGGGGCAGAGCCTTTTAGGAGAAGGTGAGCAAGGAAGCTAAAGTGGAATGAACAAGAGGCAGAACAGTAGGAGATGCCATTCTGGTATCAGAGCATTAGATGTCAGGCCTCAAAGGCAAAGGTATGGACTCTAGATTTTATTCTGAGAAAATAGGAAGCATTGGGAGGGGTGTAAGCAAAGTGTGGCATGGCTAGACTAAAAGGTCTAGCCTCCAACTGTGTTAGTTTAGAAGCCAGTTAAGAGATTTTGTAGTCCAAGTTAAGAGATTGTGATGGCTTAACTGAGAGTGGTAGCAGTAGAGGTGATAAGAGGTAGTAGTAGTCTGGATTTATTTAGGCAACAATATACCGATGTCGCATGAGAACGTAAAAAAAAATGGAAATCAAGGGTGACTCCTAGGTTTTTGGCCCAAACCTTTATTTAGATGGGAAAAACTGGGGAGAGTTCAGACTGTTACTCCATCTCACTGGATTACTAAAGTAGCCACTTACTGTATTTAATCTCTGTCCTGCTATCTTTTTTTGCTTCAGTTTAGCTTCTTAAAGCACAGGTCTGACAATGGCTCCTCATTGCCTACCTACAGAAGGGTAATGTCAATTCATATTATTTAGATGAATTTGCATATCTCTTTTATGCTATTGTATAAAGCAGCTCTAATCTTTTAAGTGGTGGGTTTTTTTAATTACAAGATAGATATTTGTGGAATATTAATATTTTTTTAAAAAAAGATCTATATTAGGAAAAAGTAAGACTCTTAGTAGGGATTTGTGAGATATATACAGAAAGGCAGTTTTGAAATGTATTCAGTTGCTACCACACTTGTTCTTAAACTGCAGCTAAAATATGTAAGATGTATATAATTTTCCCATGTTTCTTACAGGGTATGGTAGCACCTACTGATTACTGATCATCAGCCAGGTGATCTCCTGGATTTGTATGTGTAGGGTATATAGATGCTGGGATTACAGTGATGAACAAGCTAGACAAAGTGTCTCCTAGGACTTGAGAGTCTAGTGGGGAAGAAAGTAGCTTTAAAATAGTTATTCCTTAGGAAGGGACACACACATTCTACCAGAAATTTCTGCATGTTTGGTTTTGAATTTGTTCAATAGTATTCTCATCTTAGAATTAGGGCTAAAAGATCTTTAATTTCTATATTATATTTCCTGAACAGCAAGGGTCTGAAGAAGTTATTTGTTCTCAGCCATACAGGTAATGGTCAAGTTGAGATTCAGACTCAGGCTCTCTGATTCCAGAATCTTACCATGATGACAAATTAAGGAAATATAAATAAGAATGGAAATAAATTTAACATACTGGTTTAAGGGAGTTTTAAAATTAAGGCAAGTTAGTCAAGAACTCCTCCCAGTAATGCAGCAGCTGATTTTTTCCCCCGCCAGAGATTATATGTCTTTACTATTACTTTTTAAATCTTAAATGTTTATGGGAATGATGTGCTAAATTCACAAACCAGTCCAGCATACAATTAGGTGCTCTTGATAAGTGGCCTGATCAGAGTTTTCACTAGAGCAACTAAAAGATATTTAAGCACTTGACATGAGCTGCTGGATTCTGTGGGGTACAGTGAAATCTCATCTTATACAAATTTAGGTTTTAAAGGCACTGCAAATTGAATTGCATGAAGTTAAAATTACCTTTGAAAAATCCTACATCTCACAACTACAGCCTCTTCCACCACCACCATTTCTTGCCTTGATCCTTGAAATATAAAAGGAAAAGGAAATATAAAAGGAAATCTAATCTGGTGCTTTAAAAGCAGTAGGAATCATTAAGGAAAGAGAAACTTCCCTGACCTTCCTTTGACCACTTAAAATTAACCACTTTTTTCTGAAACATGCTATAATATGTATGAACCTTGAAAACATTATGCTAAGTCTCCTGACAGGTCTTTCCGCCTCTTCTTGCTCTCCTATTATTCTCCCCACAACAGTGAGAATGATCTTTTAAAAGTATAAATCATAACTTACCACCCCTCCGTTAAGTGCCTTCCACTGGCTCTCCATCTCACTCAGTTAAAAGCTAACCACCCCCAGGGCCTGTTTAGGGCCTGTGCAGTCCAGACCTCACTCTTTGACCTCCTCTCCTACCGTGCTTTGATGCAGCCCTTGCCATACTTTTCTGGCTGTTCCTTCTTGCTGGTCCTGGTAAACTCCTACCTCAGGACCTTTGCTCTCGATATTTTTTCTGCCTTTAGGGCTCTTCACTCAAATATCGTATATTCTGACCTCCTTTCGTGTGTCACCACAATAAGGTCTTAACAGACTACGCTATTCAAATTATCACATCCTGTCTACAGCATGCCACCCTGAACATGCTCGATCTAGTCTGATCTTGGAAGCAAAGCAGGGTTGGGCCTGGTCAGTACTTGTTTGGGAGACCACCTAGGAATACCAGGTGCTGTAGGCGTTAAAAATATAAATAAAATAAAATATCACATCCTTTCCCCCTCCATCCCTTTTTCTCCGTGGCATTGAATACCATCTGACATACAGTATATTCTTTGTATATTATTTATTGTCTTCCGCCCTAGGCACTATGGGATATTCATGATGGCAGAGATTTTTTGGTCTGTATTGATCACTGCTATATCATCTCATTCACCTAAAACATTACCTGGCCCATAGTAGGTGCTCAATCAATATTTGTTAATTAATCAATGTATTGAAGTACATTGTTAGTTTTCACAATAGTCTCCCGCCCACCCCCCACCCCAGCTTAATTGAGATATAATTGTCATATAGCATTGTATAAGAATAAGGTGTACAATGTACTGGTTTGATACACATATACACCCCTCATAATTAACCTTTTTTTGTTGTTATGGTGAAAACATTTTGATCTCTTTTAGCAACTTTCAAGTATACAACAGAGTATTGTTGACTATAGTCACCATGTGGTACATTAGATCTCCAGAACTTACTCATAACTGGAAGTCTGTATCCTTTGACCAACATCTCTCCATTTCTCCCATTCCCCAACCCTCAGCCCCTAGCAACCACCAATCTATACTTTGTTTCTATATGTTCAGCTTTTTTAGGTTCCACATGTGAGATCATACAGTATTTGCCTTTCTTTGACTCATTTCACTTAGCATAATGCCCACAAGTTTCATCCGTGTTGTCACAAATGGCAGGATTTCACAATATCCTTTTAATTTATGCACAGATACAATAATTTAGGCTCCTTGGTTTTATGACTAGAAAATACTTAATTGACTGTTGGGACCACAACCCTTGTTTTCTGGCTAAGAACACATTTAAAACCAGTCTTGACTTGTTTTAATCTTTACTTAGTCAAGTGACTACAGAAACAAATATTTTAAAATAGTAAAGGAAATTGGGAAAAGTTTTTCTTCATCCCAACATAGTTTTATTTCTTTGGTTCCTACTTGTACTAGAGGTTATCATAGTATATATATTTTTTCATAGAAGATTTTGAATTCTTTCGCTTCTTATTTATAAGAGCTCTAAAAACAACAGTAAAAATGTAATCAAAATCCATCTCAGTGATTCAGATTGATGGTGTCATCTATGTATAAAAAGGATGTCATTTTTTAAAGAAATCTTTTCACATTGAACACATCTTTTTAGTCATAGTATAAGTCTGTTGTGAAATAAATTACAGTTAAGTCAATATTCTGTCCACTAGTGTAATTGAAAGTATTTCTTAAATACCACAAAGGAGAGAGACAAGATGAAATAGGCTTGTGGTGAGTGTTTTAAACTGTCGATCTGAATAAACTTGATTTCAAGTCTTAATTGAGCATGTGATAAGATTTAGTCTTGTGTTGAGATTAAAGTATAATGTGTATGTCTGTTTTTTAGCAGATCATGAACCAAGCAGATAAAAATCAGCAAGAAATCCCATCTTACCTTAGTGATGAACCACCAGAAGGTAAGTATGCATCTGTAACACTAAGAATGGGAAAAAAAATCCTAGTGAATTAAAGGTCTGATTGTTTTTATTAAATTTAAAGTAACATAACTTGTTTACTTTGTCAGTAAATATGTTCCAGACGTAATTGAAGATGAAAACCTTTTTAGCATCTAAAAAGAAAACAGATATTGGTGAATGGGGACATGATGTAACTGTTTTATTATATAAGATCTAATTTTACTCTATTTTAAAACTTTTTCACAAGTAAGAATATCCTTTCATTTGTAAAGAAAGAGTGGGAGTGGGGTGTAGAGGAAGATGGACTATGTTTAGTTTTGATGTTGTATAAAAAAACTCGAGGCATTTGATATTTGTTGTTAAACTCCTATTATTTCATTATATTATAATTGGTAGCTCTCTTCCTGTATTACACATGGTCTTATGGTCCACTTAATTCAGATTCTCTTTTAGTTTGAAAATTGTGATATCGTGAATCATTTTATTCTTACCCTTACTTAAGAAATCCTTGGAAACACTTAACAGCTAAATGTCCTGACTATATACAGAAGATGCCTATAGGCATTTTTTATTTATGATTTTGGTGTAAATCATTACACTTAATTCAAATAGTGATGTCCTTGGACAACTGCATGTTTGTACAGGACAATCATAATAGGTAAGAAAGAGAATCAAATTGGAGAATAAGGGATGAAGTGGCTGAGAGACCAGACTGGAGTAGCAGAGAGACTAGGATACCTCTGAGAAGAGGCTAGGGGTGAACTTCAAGTGCTACATATTGTATTTTCTTTCCAGTTGTTACCCACTGTCTGAAACTTTCTTCTTATATTTCCTGTGTTGGTAGACAAACCTGAAATTGTTAGGAAAATAAACACAATGAAAAGTTCATACTTAAGCCTAAAAAAAGAATGAAAGTGACCAAGCTGATTAGTCTCAGTTTGATGGAGGAATAGCCCAGAAAATTATTAGCTCACCTGTTTTTTTTGCTTTATGTTTTAGGACTAGAACCCTAGAGTTTTGAAAAATTAGGGTTCAAAGAGAAAGTTAATAAGGGCTTTGTGAGAAAGTCATCAGGAACGAGATAAAGGCTGTCCGGAAGCATGACTGTCGAAGAAGAGAATGAGCCTCAGGAATGGTTGTGTATGGCAACCTGCTACACAAAAGTAGTGTGCAGAATAGATAATTTATACAGGGGTAATTTAAGGGCACACTGTAATTAAAGATATGAATAGCATTAATATTTATCTGATTTGACCAAGAAAAATTGTCCTCATTAAATGCACGTGCACTAAATTTGGCATAGCATGATAATTCTACCTGAGGTGTTCAGCATGAAGTAATTATGTTTTATCCTCGAATCAGGATTTTCCCCCTTAGTGTTAGTTCCTGACCTTGATTACAAAAGAATTACAAATTATGTAATCCTTTCCATCATGATTTTATAAATAATGTAGTAGTTCCTTTTATCTGCAGAGGATACATTCAAAACCCCTAGTGGATGCCTGAAACCTTGGATAGTCCTGAACCCTACATATACTGTTTTTTCCTATATATATACCTATGATAAAACTCAATTTATAAATTAGGCACAGTAAGAGATTAACAAGAATAACTAATACTAAATGCAACAATTATAACAGTATACTATAATAGAAATTATGTGAATGTGGTTCCTTTCAAAATATATTGTACTGTTTATCCAATGGGGGTATGTTGGACATTGGGATGCCTCATCCCCTGGGCCCCATGGAGGGGGACAGCGCAAGATTTCATTATGCTACTCTGAAAGGCACACAATTTAAAGCTTATGAATTGTTTATTTCTGGAATTTTCCATTTAATACAGACTGGTTGACTGTGGGTAACAAACTACTTAAGTGAAACTACAGATAAGGGGGGAATAACTATATTTAAATGCTTATGATACTGTCATTTATTTCAGCTCTTTTAAAATTTATATTAACTATGCTTATTACTCAAATAATTTCAGTTAAAAAATTGGTTTTTATAAATTTAGCCATTGCCGAATATGAAAAATTTATATTTATGTGGTTAACCTTGTCAGAACAGCCTCCTGATTGTTAGGAAGTAATGATTTGTGCTATTCTCATAAAAACTTACATTTAACTGTCTCATGGTATTTTCTCTCATTAGGTTCAATGAAAGATCACCCACAGCAACAACCCGGCATGTTGTCCCGTGTGACCGGGGGTATCTTCAGTGTTACTAAAGGAGCTGTTGGTGCCACCATTGGTGGTGTGGCTTGGATTGGTGGAAAAAGTCTGGAGGTGACCAAAACAGCTGTTACAACTGTGCCTTCAGTGGGAATAGGGCTGGTGAAAGGGGGCATGTCTGCTGTGGCTGGAGGTGTCACAGCTGTTGGGTCTGCTGTTGTAAACAAAGTGCCATTAACAGGAAAGAAGAAAGATAAATCTGACTAAAATATGGAGATACACTTGCTCTCCACAGCATTATGATGCCAGTGGCATTGAATTGCTAAATTATGGACTACAATACTAAGTCAACTGTTTTTGGACGTTTATCTTCTAAGCTGCTGTGTTGAAAGTATTGATGACTGGCTTTCGTCTAAAAAGAGACCAATACTAGCACAGTGTGTGAAGGTTTCTCATACTTAAATTCCAGCTTTTTATCTGGTAAAATGTTACACTTATTCAGTTGTAACTGAAGATATGATATATTTGAATATTTACTATAAGTCTTTTAGTTTAACTAAAAATGTGAAAGTTGAATTTAGTGGATGATCTTTACAGTTCCATATGTATAATGTGCCAGGTAACTCGTCTGCCCCTTCAGAAGGGAACCTTGAACTACATAAACTGTAATTTTGATGTGCCTAATAGTTTCAGATGTCTTAGTTTTTTTATAACCATAGTTGATTAGGCCAAGAGGCATTCTTTTCTTATTTAAGCTGGTAAAAGTAGCAGGACTTAGAGAAGTTTAAAAGATAAGTGGTTTTATGATAGAGTGTTAACCATCTTTTGTTAGATATGCATTATGTTAATTTAATCATCGATGCCTTACAATAGAAAACATCTTTCCTAATACACTATATATGTGCAGTTCTTAAAATTATATATGGATTCTCTTAAAAGTTGTTTGTGAAATTAGTTTTCCCCCTTAAAAATCTCAGGAGTCATTGGGTAAAGGCATTTCTTGCTCTCAGCAGATAAGATAGTGCTCGTTAATTTGTTAACTGTCAGTAGTTATAACAAAATTGTATGCTTCAACCTGGGTTCATGCTCCATTGTCAAGACACCTCACAGTGCCTAAAGAACATTTCTTTGCCGATCAGAAGCTATGTTGGAAGAGTTTCAGATTAAGGAAGAACAAAGGAATAATTTAAAGTTCTTAAGAATTACCTAGAACATCCAATATATAAAAAGAATTCTTCAGACCTATTTTATCTCTAAGATGGCTTAAATAATTAGCAGTGCCCTTTTAAAAAACACAGTAGAAGCAACCACAAATATGTGGGGGCTGACTTTTAAACTGAATGAAATAGATTAGTTTTGAATGTAAAAAATATATATGTGCTTTCAATCGTCTATAGGCTTTTAAAATGTTATCTTACCATCCTTTAAAGCAACTGTAGAGTTTGTACCATTCTCCAAGTCAACTTCAGGCAGGAAATTGAAATTACTGATAATGGGTGATATGTCATGTCTTACTAACCTATCTCATCATCATGTCTCATTCATTCTCAGAGACTATAACTTAGGCTGGATCTCATCTTTGTTTTTGTTTCATATTCAGTTTCATAAAAATTTGAAAAGTGGCATATATATATTTGGCATTACTCATAACTGAAGGTTATAATCCAAGCCTGAAAAATCTTAGTTTTCTTTATACTCAAATCTGGATGTTTGCCTCCATTCTGCAGACGTTTTTCCCTCACAAGGGAAGGGAGGAAAGGTGTGATGCTCAGGAGTAAGTCAAGTAGCATCCCTGACAACTTAGACTAGACTACTCCAGCTCCCAAGGCTTAAACACATTTGTAAATGAGTTAGAGTTTTACATTAATAATGTAGATTAACAAGTGAATAAGAACATAACTCTTAAAAGCTTTCATAAATACCAGCACAGATTTTAAGCAGATCAACAGGTTCTTGAACCTTTCTGCAGTATACAAAACTGAAAAGTCATTAGGGAGTTCAGTTCATCAGAAACCTAAAGGCTGTTTATTTCATGCTGTGTGATTTAAGGTATATTTGTTGGTATATCTGGTCAAATATAATTAGCAAAGGGTTTTTTTTTTAATCAAAATTAACAGATAAACACAAATTATGATCTAAATAATGGTATTGGAGAACTTGTTTCCTGCTATTTGAAAGAAATTATTGCTTCATTGCTAGTTTATATTTTTAATTTATCTTCTATAGTCATAGGCTCTGCTGTGCTTCGTACTTGAATTTCTAAATATAGACTTTATTTACTGTATGCCTGCATATTTATTTTCAACTTTACTTATCTTTAACATTGCTTGAGGAAAATGGTTGTAATTAATTTCTGCTACAGAAAAGCCAACTGGTACATTTTATCTTGTTTGTTTTAAATTCTAAACTATAACTTTGTTCAGGAGAAGCTTTTGCAATGATAGCAGAGAACTGTATAACTTAACTTATAGAGGTTCTTGTTGAAATGAACTTGCCATTTGATGATATGTAGAGCTGTACACTTGAGTCTTTTCCAGTTTATTTTTGTAGATTAGCAGTTTGATCTGTTAAACAGTAGTAGTTCACTTCAAAAAGCAAGGTTGTTGTACACACCTGGAGGCGTCTGTTATTCAGCTTATCTTTTGAGTGGGTATTTGGCACAATGAGGATAAACTTGTGTGACCCACGTGATGACTGCTCTAATAATGTTGACATTATGAATCCTGCACTTAGTGAAATGTCAGATGAAAATAACTGATGACTGAATTTTTTTTTTGTATTAAAGGAATGGGAAAAGAATACATGAATCTGTTAATAAAGCACTATGATCTGCAAAAGATGAAATGTTTCATAAAGATCTAAGGAAATAAAGGAAATTTTAAAACAGGGTAGTCTTAAAATTTTTACATAGCAGTTCAGAAAATACTATAGCCAGTTTTTAAATTTTTAGATGTAAATGCAGAAACAAAATACTGAATATGAATTTTGACACTAACACCATAATGAAATACAAATACACTTTAAACAACTCTGATAAAAAATGCAGATTTCTAGGTTTTACCCTAACTTGCTGATCTACAATACAGCAGAGTTTTCACAACTGCTGCAGGTGATTCCTGTGCACTTGAACACTTGGGAACTGATGAACGAGTTATAAAATAGGGAGCACGTCCTTCTGTGCTAAGTAACTGGAACCATCTTACACCTCTCATTGGACAGAAATGACTCAAAGGAATGGGCACCAGTGGAGGAAGGTAGAAAATTGATATTTACTGGCATCTACATACCCATACCCATACATTATCTGATTTAATCAATATGAGGAAAGTACCTTTATTCTCTTTACAAATACGGAACAGGCTAACTTTCAGTGTTAGTTGAATTTCCCGTATCACTTCTGAATTAGTGTAAGTCACAACTTTTCCAGCTTATGTTCATAAGCAGAAATGGGGCTACTTGATAACTAGTCCTTCATTCTGCTGTTGGCGTTCAGTGCTGTCTGTGTGCTTGATTTACCAGGCCGTCTAACCAGTGTGAGCCCATTGGAGTCTTCCAGGTGATCGTGTTTACTTTGGCAGCTAATTACATTTTGCTACGGAAATGAATTTAGTGTAATTATACACATTATTTAAAGGAAATGATTTTGTTAGAGCCCTTTTTTCACACAGGAAATAAAATTTGACTCAAGTTGACTCAAGAATATCTCCTGCTACGTTGTCAATTTTGAATATTTTAAATTTTATTCATAGACGTGAATAAGAATGCAAAAAATAGAAAAACGCAGAGAAGTTCAAAGGCTTACCAAAGAAAACATGGAATAGGATTTGATCTAAGGGAAAATAAAGTCAATATACTGCATGTTTGACCATGAATGTGGGTTTTTAAAAATCTTTTCAAGTTAGAGTAAGTTACAAGTGTTTCTAAAACCGTAACTGCCTCTAGGTTTTCTGCCTGCACACCTAAATTTCGCTGCTGTACTGATGAGGCTCTTTTTTAAATTAATGGCCACAAAGCACACATGGTCATTCAACTCTGCTGAACTTTCTTTTACACACACACACACACACCCTCCCTCTTGTATGTTCACTTTCCTATTACTCGAAACTATTTCCTATCTCCTCTTTCCAGCCCTCCTATTGTTCTCCCCTCCTCCCATACTGTCCTCCTCTAACCAGTGACTCTCCTGCCTCTCAACCAGCCATCCTCTCAGTCTGCCTGCCTCTGTTCCCTCTCTCCAAGGACCAGGACTAGTACCTCCGCTCTTACCAAAGTCAGCCCACCTTCAGTTCCTCAAGGATGCTGATACTGCAGTTTTCCATCTCTCATCCGTCTCTCTCTCTCTTCTGGGTCATATCCATCAGCATATAAACATGTTCTAGTATTTGCTCTCCTTAAAGAAAATTAATCTCACAGTCTATTTTTCTGCTTCCCTTCGCAGCAAAGTGTCTTGAAAAACTTTAAGGTTCGGCCCCTTCCTCATCTTGTGTTCTCTCAACCCACTCCGGCTGCCTTCTTACCTTTCTCATTCCACCCGAATCACTCTTGATAGGGCCAACTAACGATTTCCTTTTTGCCGAATCCATTGGTCACTTGTTTTGGTTGACCCCTCCGTGGCATGTCCTCTTTTCCTGTCCTCTTTTTCTGCCTCTGGTCAACCCCTTCTGTGCTAAGTAACTGGAACCATCTTACACCTCTCATTGGACAGAAATGACTCAAAGGAATGGGCACCAGTGGAGGAAGGTAGAAAATTGATATTTACTGGCATCTACATACCCATACCCATACATTATCTGATTTAATCAATATGAGGAAAGTACCTTTATTCTCTTTACAAATACGGAACAGGCTAACTTTCAGTGTTAGTTTCCCTTCCCATATCACTTCTGAATTAGTGTAAGTCACAACTTTTCCAGCTTATGTTCATAAGCAGAAATGGGGCTACTTGATAACTAGTCCTTCGCTGTTGTGTTGGCGTTCAGTGCTGTCTGTGTGCTTGATTTACCAGGCCGTCTAACCAGTGTGAGCCCATTGGAGTCTTCCAGGTGATCGTGTTTACTTTGGCAGCTAATTACATTTTGCTACGGAAATGAATTTAGTGTAATTATACACATTATTTAAAGGAAATGATTTTGTTAGAGCCCTTTTTTCACACAGGAAATAAAATTTGACTCAAGTTGACTCAAGAATATCTCCTGCTACGTTGTCAATTTTGAATATTTTAAATTTTATTCATAGACGTGAATAAGAATGCAAAAAATAGAAAAACGCAGAGAAGTTCAAAGGCTTACCAAAGAAAACATGGAATAGGATTTGATCTAAGGGAAAATAAAGTCAATATACTGCATGTTTGACCATGAATGTGGGTTTTTAAAAATCTTTTCAAGTTAGAGTAAGTTACAAGTGTTTCTAAAACCGTAACTGCCTCTAGGTTTTCTGCCTGCACACCTAAATTTCGCTGCTGTACTGATGAGGCTCTTTTTTAAATTAATGGCCACAAAGCACACATGGTCATTCAACTCTGCTGAACTTTCTTTTACACACACACACACACACACACCCTCCCTCTTGTATGTTCACTTTCCTATTACTCGAAACTATTTCCTATCTCCTCTTTCCAGCCCTCCTATTGTTCTCCCCTCCTCCCATACTGTCCTCCTCTAACCAGTGACTCTCCTGCCTCTCAACCAGCCATCCTCTCAGTCTGCCTGCCTCTGTTCCCTCTCTCCAAGGACCAGGACTAGTACCTCCGCTCTTACCAAAGTCAGCCCACCTTCAGTTCCTCAAGGATGCTGATACTGCAGTTTTCCATCTCTCATCCGTCTCTCTCTCTCTTCTGGGTCATATCCATCAGCATATAAACATGTTCTAGTATTTGCTCTCCTTAAAGAAAACTAATCTCACAGTCTATTTTTCTGCTTCCCTTCGCAGCAAAGTTTCTTGAAAAACTTTAAGGTTCTGCCCCTTCCTCATCTTGTGTTCTCTCAACCCACTCCGGCTGCCTTCTTACCTTTCTCATTCCACCCGAATCACTCTTGATAGGGCCAACTAACGATTTCCTTTTTGCCGAATCCATTGGTCACTTGTTTTGGTTGACCCCTCCGTGGCATGTCCTCTTTTCCTGTCCTCTTTTTCTGCCTCTGGTCAACCCTTTCCAGGTTTGGCCAGTCACTGTTACAAATCTAGACTTTGTTTCTGTGCCAGCTCATCTAGAGTCATAGTTTTAAATAACCACAGATAAGCAGATATGCAGATGACCTCTACTCCTGACTTCTTACAACTCCAACTTCACCATTTGTCTATTTGACATCTAAAAGGTGACCATATAATCTATTCCAAGCTGAGAGACACTTGAGCGTGCGAGCACCGCTGATGATTTCAGAACAAGCACAAACTAACATTTCTGCACGGGTTTTCCATCACACTTAGGATGAGACCCTGCTCCTCAGATGGACCTGTGATGGTCATCTTTCATTTTGTACCACTCTCCGTGACACTCAGTCTTGCCCCGACCATACTGGCTGCCATTCTTTTCCTTGAAAAGACATTCCCACGTGACTGGGTAAGTGAATTACCCTCACTGTGCTCAAGTCCCCTCATCAGTCAAACAGTAAACAACAGTACCAAATTCTTACGGTTGCAAAGCACAATGTGCTCAGCTGGTGCTTAGTAGGTGCTGCAGAGAGATTTCTTTCACTCTCCTAAGGAACTGAATAGATATGGATAGGGAGGGTTACTTGGCTTTGCTGAATTGAAGACATGGCCTGCATTTTTCATCATTTTTTCCTTATGGCCATGTACGCATAGTGCACAGATATTTGAGTGTCAGGCAACTGGTTGTGTATTTGTTACAAAGTTCAAACTCCACAGCTGAAAGCAAGCCAGTCTTTATCTGGATAATGTTTATCTTGGAACAAGATTTAGAAATAGAAATGTGAAATGCTACTAAAATCAATAATGATCCTCACACATTATCTCTTCTATAGGCAAACAGATTTTCAGGAAGTTTTAAACTGCCTCATTTACTTCAAATGCATATAAAATAAATCATTTCAAATTTAAGGAATTTTAGAGAAGTTTTAATTAAAATCCCTAAATTTGCTGGTACTCACTCTTTTGGAAGGTCAGGTAGAGGTGAGTTTTCTTATGCCAACTCATAAGCAATCCTTTTTCTACTCACAAGGTTTGAAAAGAAGTCAGACCATGGTCAATCTGGGCTCTGTCACTTGGCAGCTAAGTGGACTTTCTAAGCTTGTTTCTTCATCTGAAAATTAGGGAAAGTAATGAATACACATAAAAGTGTTTCATGAGATATAAAATGGTCAATTTTAAATATAAGTAAGCTCTAATGGTTCTTTTTGGATTAGTAATACTTGGTTCTCAAAGATATTCACTTATTCCAACCGGGAAATAAAATCAGCTTTCTCTGAAAAATGTATTAGAAGTCTGCAGATGTTTCACTTAAAACTAAGTTACAGAACTCAGACCTCAGTAGAGTGATGCTACAGAGCTGGTGGTGGTGAAGAAGTCTGGATCTGCATCCCAGATGAAATGTGCTATGTGAAAAAAAAAAGTATCCAGACTGAATTAAGGGACTGTACTTGTCAGTTTCTTAGAAATGATTTCAATTATGACATAGCACACTGGTGTGCCATTTAATAGTATGAGAGTTTTTTTTAAAAAAAGGCTTAAGGTCAAAATTCCAATTTTATTTAAAAAATGGCAATTTATATTTTAAAACAGAGCAAACGAGTCCAATAATTTAGAGGTAATTTACACACAATTCAGAAGCTAAGCAGGTTCTTAAAATGACTGGTACCTGTAAACTGCCTGAATCACTGTTTCACTCTACACCGCCAGAAAGAAGCAACTTCCTTACTCTTCAACATTTAATGGTGCCACAGGGTTAAATAATGGCCTTCCTTTTTTGGCCTGAATTTTACCAAAGTTAGCCTCAAACTCTTTTTTCGTTCCATGTAGATTTGCTAGATGTCCATCTTTTATTCTGTAGCCTAAGGAATTCAGTTTCCTTATTCTGTACTGTACTATCTGCGGTGTTAATTCAAGAACCGTTGGCGTCTCTCTTATCTGAGCTATGGAAATTCCTTCTTTCAGTAATCCCTGGATTCTCTCTTCCAAAATGGGAACAGAATAATATAAAAGGGCAGGGCATTTCAAAACTAGTTGCTTTAGGTCATGATCTGTGCATTTAAAAGCATTTTTAGAGAAGGAAATACTGTTCTGTATACTTCTTGGGCAAAGTTGAAAAAGAAACCCTTTGAGTTTGGACAGAAGTTGGAGAATTTCAAAGTTTGTGAAACCCTGCTCCTGGAGAAATTCTAGTGTTTCCTTTATAGCTGCAGAAGAATTTAACAAAATAAATGGGTTTTGGCTTAATAATTTTAGTAGCCAAACTTTCATGTTGGCTTCAGAGCCACCTAAATTTAGATAATTCTCTTGGAGAATCCTTATCATTTCCTTATTCTTCTCAACAGGATTATGAAAAATACTAGATGCAGTTGTCAAAAATCTGCTGATGATCACATTTCTGAGTCCCAACTCTTGAAAGAACTGAATGTTCAGCTTCTGGTTCTCCTGGTGTTTAACAGTAAAGAAAGAGTCTGGAAACTGTTCTATTAACTTGACTAACTCTTCCTCGCTTTTGCAGACTGACTGCCAGAGTTCTCTTTGGGTGTGAACAGCGGCTGGGGTGCAGACAACTGCTTCTGGGCAGCGTTCCAAAATACTGGCTACAGCCGTCTCATCGGCACCTAGTTGTTGTAAAATACTTGCAATTTCTTCCACATAGGTTTCATCCTCCAAAAGTACCCATTCTTTTAATCTGCGAATTTTTCTGATGTCCACTGAAAATTTATAGAGTTTTTCCACTGTTGTTTTGTTTTCTTTTTTTGACTGGTTATCGGTTGTGTAGGTGAAGCATGGTAAAATAGGTCTGTGTTTGGGAGCCGACAGCACCTTTCTCAAAGAACACAGCTTGCAAGGCTGGGATCTCATCAGCAGCTTCCACAACATGCCTGCAATCCACTGGCTTACTCCCCACCGTCCTGGGACTCAGAATGTATTCATGGTGCCTGTAAGAAAGAAAATACACGTTTTAACATAAGGAGTGCTGACTTCTAGAACACAAACACAAATTTAGCTGTAACTGAGCATGGAAAAGAGACATTTAAATTAGGAAAACTACTCACATGGAATATTACATATATCCTCTTAATTTTTAAAGGAATTATACCTCTTTATAAATACATTGTCTATTTGAGCTTTGCAACAACCTTGTGAAGTAGTTATTTTTATTTTACAGATCAGTAATAAGCCCACAAAAAGTTCAATGATTCACAGACCTTGGATATTATTTTGATACAAATTCCTCCTCCTACAACTTTGATATGTTTCTCTTTAGGTCTACATTACATACATAGTGTTTTTTTTGTTAACAGTTTACATTTTTTAAGGTTTTACATTCTCAAGGTGATGGTTAGCTGAAGTAAAAACTTACCAAGAAAGAGGGAGTAGGGTCATCTCTAATTTTATATTTTAGAGCAAACATTTTTGCTGAATAACTATTACCGGAAGTCTGTCAGTTAATTTATTTAAAATAAGTCTGAGCCAGGTAAAATGAGAAATGCCATGTGACTGCCCCAGTGGAGCCGATGGGGGATCATGTTGGCTGTGGAATGGGGACTGACTTTGAGAACAGTCTACCAGCTGTCCCCACTCGACAGCTTTACTTTAGGCACCTAGAGATGGTTATACTGTGCCGAATGCATTGCAGCCTTTGGCACTATTACGTCTCTAGTAATGAAAACATGCCCAGTTTGTTCTAACTTTCAGTGCCTGAGAGTTAAGTGTTTCTTTGGTCCTACCACAAAAGTGCGTAGTGCTGAGGTATTTATCTAACTCCTTCAGCAGCCTTCCCTTATAATTTGTAGGTATGAAGTTAAATCGAAAAAAGCGATTTCCGATCCCTGCCCTTAATAATGCTCTTGCCATGTTTGCCAAGGACTCTTCGCCTTTCAAGCCTGTCTTAACTCATCCAAAGAAATGCTTATTTTTAAAGAAAAAAAATAACAGGTAACGATGTTCTCATTTTGGTTTACTATTTGTGACAGCTCATTGTTAGTGCCTGCGATGTCCAAAATGTCCAAAATAATTGTAGGCATAGCTTCTGTTTTACTTCTCGTGGTTCAACCAGAGTTTCCTTCAGGTGATTCCTTAATAGCCAAGATGTAAATATGAAAGTATTTTTTTTAAGTTTCTAAGAAGACCATGGATTTTCACAGAAAGAAGGAGGTACAATGAGGAAGGGCAGAGGCGGATCTAGGCTGGAGCCCCACGCGACCACTGTTTAAGGGGGCCCACAAGCTCGGGCCGCTCATCTGTACCACACGCTGGAAGGAGTGTGGGCTCTGCAGCCAAACTGTCCACACGCAGTCCTGGCTCTAATTTATGGGATCATCTTGGGAAAGTTGATTGGCCTCAAGATTAAACAAGTAAACAAACGTGATGAAAACAGTGCCTCATCATACATGTTCAATACACATTAGTTATAATCACAATAGTACTATCTGTAAAATGGAGAGCACGGCAGGTAAACTTTACAGGAATATTGCAAGGGTTAAAAATGCATGTCAGGTACTTCACACAGAGCCTCCATTTATTTCTGTTACTAGGAAAGACCTGTAGCTAAAATTCTTATAGTAATATGACTTTAAATTATATTTTAGACAGAAGTAAATTTTTTACAAAGAATTACTAAAAATCGCATTTTAAGTGCTTTGGCTATCCAAAATAACTACTTATAAAAGCAATACATTCTCACCACAGAGAATTTGCCAAATTCTGAGAAGTATAGGAACTGAAAAAAAGTTTTCATAATCCTACCACCTACAGAAAACTTCATATTTTGATATATAAGTCCAGTTTCATTCCATGTTTATTATACTTTTAAAATATATAAAGTTGCCTTATATGTGAGCGAGGTTCTAAACTCAGCCAATAAAGTGAAAATTACAAAAACTCAGAATTTTCCTTGAAAATTTCTTAAGCAGGCCCCACACTGGACACCAACAGGAGGAACACACGCCAGTGTTGGCTAAGCGCCAGATGAAGGAGCTGGCTTGCTGTGAGGGTCACCTTACAAAAATTGACAGATCATCAAATATTCAACACTTAACACAGGCATGAGGCTCCTGCCCCAGTGAACCTAAGGGAAATGCGGACTGACTCCCATTTCCTGCTTACTACGGAGTGAAGTTATCATGTGCTCAGGTGAGCTGTCTGAACAATAAAAGCTGTTGATTATGTCTTGCTCTATCTCATTCTCTCTGGGATGAACAAACGGTTGACTGCAAAAGTGAAAAGCACAAGGGTTGTGACTCCTCTGTAATCAACACCCAACGTATATACAATTTATTCTTTTATTTTATCCACTTGTACCTATCTTTGGCATCGAACACGCTCTAAATATTTTAAATGAGTGCATGATATATGGGATTACTATAATTCTGTAATTTGTTCTCTAGCATTTGGGCTCTCTGTAATTCTTTGGTATATGCTGAATATCTGTCCACATTTCCTATTTTTTCCTTTAGGATGAATTCCTAGAAGTAGAATTACTATAGAGGAGATGTGTGAACATTTGAAAAGCTAAGTTGTTGATTTACTATCCAGAAAAACTATTTCAATTGACATTCTCACAAGCAGTATTAGTGAGTCATCAGTTTTAATTTTAATATGTGAAAAATGAATATAACACTAACTTAACTTCAGTTTAATAGTGAGGCTAACCATTTCTTAAATTATTTTGACCATCTTCATTTCCTTTTGTGAATTATTACTGCCTTTTGCCTTTTTAAATGGCAATCTTTCTGCTTTTCTTGTATACAAACTCTTAAATATTTTAAGGATAATCTTATTTTTGTAAATATTTTCTCCAGTTTTAGCATACCAAACTGGTTACTTTTTTTTTTAGTGGCAAGATATATGTAACATAAAATTTACCATTTTAAGTGTACATTAACTAAATTCAAAATACTGCACAACTGCTACCACTATTTCTAGAACTTTTGCATCATCCCAAACACCAACTCTGTACCCATTAAACAATAATTCCCTACTCTTTTCTCCTCTCAGCCCCTTATAACTTCTATTTTCTTCTCTATGAATTTGCCTACTCTTAATACTTCATGTAAGTGCAGTCATACAATATTTGTCCTTTATTTCTGGCTTAGAATGTCTTTAAGGTTCATATATATATAGTATGTGTCAGAACAAAGTGGTTAATTTAAGTGGGCAAAGGGTCAGGGAAGTTTTCCTTCATGATTCCTACTGCTCTTAAGCATCAGATGATTAGATAAATATTCATCAATATTTCCTTATATATTTTTGCTTGAATTTTAAAAGCTCTTTCAATTCATTTGGAATTTGACTGCGAGCTAAGAATCTGAACAGATTTTATCAAAGTTTGGCTATCTCCAAACACTATTTCTGAACAATCCTTCCATTCCCCATGATTTGTGATGCCTCCTTTGTTATACAGTAAATGTAGCTTCTGTTTCTAGCTAGTTTCCATTCTTATTCCCCTACTACTTTGTAATTCCCTGAATGAGCCAAGTGGCTACTTTCTGGCCTTGCTGCATACTTGGCTCCAACCTAAAACAATACCTGGTCAATTCACTCTTGCACATCCCCTACCAACTATGTCAAATCTTCTCAACTCGGATCTCCAGCTTCCCCCGAACCCCATTCCCTCCTTCACTCTTAACCAATACCCTTGCCACTCCTACAAAGAAAGGAGAGCAACTCGTCACACCAAACATAAACCTCCTGCTATAGCCTCTTCCCTGCACTTAACACCTTTCATTATCCTGGTAATCTCTAGAAAGGCGCGCTGATCTCAACCCCAGCCCCTCTGGCCTGGGATCCGCAGAGCCCTTCTTTCTCATGTATCCGCTCCTTCATCTGTATCCTCCTCTCTGAGGCTCCCACCCTCACCTCAGTGGTTCTTCCTCTCACTGCCACTCCAGCTAAAACCCTATTTTTCTCTTCCCCTCAGTTAATTCTTGTGAATTCTCCTTTTTCTCCATTTTCTCTCCTCCTACTTATATGGCTTCCAATAAAAACAACTCCCATATGATTAGAGCCAATGAGTAGCTTTAGTTCCTATCGCTTGACCTCTGCGGTATCGGCGCAGTTGACCACTTTCTCCGTGAAATCTCCCTCACTTGACCTGCAGGATTTCCCATTCTCCCAGTTCTCCTCCTTCCTTTCTACATATCGGACCTTCCTTTATCTGTCTCCTTTGGAGGCTCATCTTCAAGGCTCGGTTCTAGACTCTCTCCTCTGATCCTGTCCTTGTCCAGGGCTTCACTTAATCCACTTGGGTACTTCTCCAGCTGCTTCTCAAAATGTGATCCTGTCACCTCCCTACAATAAGCTTTTCAATGGCACTTTGGGATAAAGACTTAAAACAAAATAAAAATACCTTGCCATGGCCTACAAGGGTTCTTTGTCTGGGCTCTGTTGCCACCCAAATTCCCGTCCCCCTCTCCCTGCACGAGCCACCACCTGCTTCCTTTCAGTCCCTGGTGCTCCACTTGTTCCCACCACAGGGTCTTTGAAGACTGAGGACTGTTCTCCAGGCTCAAAGTGCCCCTAACTCCGAGGTTAAGTGTCACTTTCCTGGGGAAACTTCCATGACCTCCATGAATAGATGGAGCCTCCTGTTCCCATTATAGGCTCTCGTGGAATCATGGACCGCTCCTCTGTGCCACCTGTCATAGCTGCAGCTGTTCATGTGTTTTTTGTCTCACCCTCCATGAGGGCACAGACTGGTCACCACTGTGTTCTATGAATTGCTTCTCTAACCTTCACCTGGCTGACATCGGTGACGCTAGGAGGCATTCCTAGGCAAGTGACTTTAGTATGTGCTCCTCCATGGCACCTTGCTCTTGACCCTACTGTAGCACTATACTCCCTTAAGTTTGTTATTTATTCAACCAGTATTTTGGCTTTTTTTTTTTTTTAAAACACTCACGCAATGGCATTATGCTAACACTAGCTCTTCTGCTAAAATGTTTCTTCATATCCTTGGATTACAGACCCATCTGATGAGAGCCATAGACTCTCATTCAAAAAAAAAAAAAGACTCATATCCACAGTTTGCAAAAGATTGTGGCAGGATTCATGGGTGCCCTGCAGCCCAACTGTGAACAATCTGTACTAGATTGAAGGCACCAGGAGGGCAGGGTCTGAGTGCTCTTCTACTTTACCCCCTGCACCCAGCAAAGAACTTGGTCCACAGAGGAACAAAAATCCGTGCCTGTCAATTGGAACTGACAAACCAAGTTCATGAAGCACCTTAATGTAGTGGCTAAAACTGTGAGCTGCCTGGACTTAGTTCCTGGTCATTAGTTGTGTTTGAGCATCAGGAAAATGGGAACACTACATCCTGGGTGATGTGAAGATTAAATTAGTTGATATCATAAATCACACAATATTCAGAAAACTCAGTAAATCATCACAACAACACATTTCAAAGATGAGAACACAGCTGCAGGTAAAGGTTTCTCGGCTAATAAAGGGCAGGCCTTGTATTCAAACCCAACGGCTTGGCTCCAGAGTCCAGATATAATGCTTTTGGTAAATGTTTGTTAAAACACCATGTAGGCTATTTTAAGAAACTTCATGTTTTTTAGACATTTTTCAGGAGTGAAATCCATTTCTGTAATATGCATAACATATAAACACCAGCAACTTCGATTAAATTCTACTTTTATAACGTGTACGATCTACCGACAGTTTCAAATAACCCCAATGTTTATAAGCCAGGAAAAACGAAGACCCAAGTAAAAAGATCTCGGAGCGCACGAAACCCACACATCCATCCTGTGGCGCCTGAGCTGCTCCAGAAAGACCCGGGACCTGCGGCGCCCCGGCGGAGCTGAGCGGCGGGCCGGGAGGGCGGTTTCGCGGTGGGCGGCCCTAGACCCCTGCCTCTCG